AATAAATATTTCATGCTAATCATAACCATTATTATTTTTAAATTGATCACAAATGTTGCCACAGCACAATCTTGTATGACAGAGGGGAGTTGACTGCAATTCATACTTTTTTACCTAGAGCTACCAGACCTTGGTGCCAACCTCCAGATGACCACTAGATGACAATAAAAAGACACAGAAAGCTCTTAACTTTTTGCTACCACCTAATGAATTTTTGTAGCCTAGATCGGATAACCCTACTTTGTTGACTGGGGGATTATATTTTGGAGGACTACTGTTGGGTTTGCAAACATGCTTTGACTAAGTGTTAGAATTTGTACTACAGAAGTGGAAAACCCATGGTTTCCAAATGTTGCTCAACTATAACTCCTCACCATTACCTATTCTGGAGATGGGGATAAATGAGTTCCCTATTCTTTACATTAAAGTAAACCAGTGGGACATAAAAAATTGAGACAGAGGTGTTGGGTTCAAAGTCTGCCCCTGAATCTTTCCAGTTTGTAAACTCCTTCTCTTACCTGAACCAATGCGTGCCCTTGACATGGTTGGTGAATCGATTTTATGTGCCGGCACTGTCAGGTAGTTGTTCATCTGGAATCAGAAACACCCAGGCATGTGTTAAAAAGCCCCACCCTCAGGAGTCCAACAGCATCTCATTTTTGCCCTGCTGTCTCTTGAGGTTCCTCTCTATAGATGTACAGGCCAGGAAAAGAAACTAAAACATTGGTGGGCAAACGATAATTTCCCTACATTTTTCAAGTTTTCTTGACCAGCATTCCCTGATATAGACTGACATTTAGGACTGATATTATCTGAAATTCAAGAAGATATCAAAGCAGATTGGTGTATCTCTTTAAGACTTTGAATATAGAAACTCAACACATACACTTGCTTAAGATACCGCCATTCTGAGGAACATCTACAAATGGGGCATTATGACATTTCTCCCACACTCAAATGGACTCTTGACCTAAAATTGTTAGCAAACTCCTAGGTCAGTCAATTTTCTTTAACCAGATGAAAATAACAGGTCCACCACTGAAAGGCTTCCAGTTAAGCTGGGTGAGCGAGAATAATGGAAAAGCTAGCTCCTCATATCCTTCACAAGTGGTTTTGTGCCAATCTGAAAGATAAGGAGCAAGAGGAGTAGATAGAAAAGTATAAGTGGCCAGCCCAGAATTCTTGCACTCCCTTGTTGCAGACTATGCTTTTCGAACCCTCATTCAGTTTTGAGTGATGCAGACAGGAGGGCAACAGGAATACCACTGTAGTTTCCAAAATCTGCAAACACACAGCCCAGTTCAGATTTCTGGACCATCCTTTACCTGCAGTAGCTTCAGTTCGGAGGAGGCAAGAGCTCCAAATAGTGGAAGACGTTTGAAAAGTGTGTGTGTGTGTGCATGCGCCCGCTTGTTATGAATATGATTTAATCATCACCTTTGAAAAATTTATCTCATCAACAAAGATGGAATTTGAAGTAAACCCTTGTCTAGAGTCTCACAAGATCCCTTCTCCCACCCCACCCAGATTCCACCTTCCCACCCCTCCACCTTCTGTTCCAGCTGCCGAGCCTTCTGTCTTCTCAGCAACATCTGGTTCCAGGCTTCTTCATAAGGATCTGCTACCAAGGTGTGTCGATTGTACGACCGCAACTGGAATGGAATGCAACAGAGGTTAGACTGACAGACAGATGCTCACCACCTGTTTAAAAAGTATGGTTTATGCAATCAATCTCTGGGAAAGTCAACACAACTGACCCCAGGATTTAATTCAAAGAATTAAGAGGCAGGCAACATGAATCCACTGATATTTGGCAGGCTGCCTATTGTGCATGTACTGTTATTAACCATTGCTCCAAGAACCTCTGCCAATCCTTTCCACCCACTGACCCCAAAGTCCATCCTCATTATCTACCTCCTAGCCCAGTGGCTCATAGGAGATTAGCAATGATCTCTCAGCGTTACTGAATTATGTTTTTGCTTGGCTGTGGAAGACTTAAAGGTGGAATGAGAAAGCACAGGAAGAGGGAGTCCTACTGCAGTTCTTTTGAATTGGCTATGAGAGGGGCCCTTGCACTTACCCTCTGCCTGGTTTTTTGCAAATTGTTGCGCAGGATCTTTCGAATCTCCTCCTCTTTGTCCTTTGACAGAGCTGGCAAAATGCGTTCTACCGGCAAAGTTTTCGGATTGATATTCCTGCAAGATGAAAAGGAGTTGGGATGGACAGAGGGATATAAGGGGTTGCCAGGGGAGGTTCTTGCCTTGGTTAAGTGCAAGACGGAAAGGCTCTGAGTAAGAGCTCTAGATTTTTTAAACAGAACCAATCATCCAAAAAGATGGGAAAAATTAAGAATGAATCTTTTCCCATTACAGGTAGTCCTCGCTTGGGACCTGCAACTCTGTCACTAGGCACCACGGTCGCTAAGTGGAAAAACACGTGACCACCACAGGCTTATAACCTCACTTCCCCTTCGGTCATTAAGTGAAACATCACATGATCGTGACTTAAAATTTTACTTCCGCCTTCTCTATTAACTCTGCTTGTCGCAAGCCAGTTGTGAAGCATGTGAATAGTTATCATGTGACTGCCAGACGTAAATGCAAGGATTAGTCGCAAAGCTTTTTTTTTACACCATGGTAACTTCGAATGGTTGCTAAATGAGGCAGTCGGTATGCGAGGACTACCTGTAATAAATTAGAATCCTCCTACCATGATTTCCCACTGGCACTTACTGCATCGAAACAGTGGAGACAGCAGACGGGATCTTGCCCATACCACCACTTTCCACCAGTTCAATTGCTTGCTTCATCTCCATCTTATGATAGAAGGCAATCAACTGGGGTTCTTTCGATCTTTCCCCAGCAATCAGGCACTTCTTCACATATTTCTTGTTGAAACGGTTTAGCCTTTGGAGAAATCATACAACAGGGGTATGGTCAGCGAGGGGAAAGAACAGAAGATGCAACAGACAAAGGCAGTAATCAAACACTACTAGCCCAGTTTGCTGTATCCAAAGTTGCCTGCGTTTACTCAGAAGCAGGGGAAAGCAACAAGGGCGTCCTTGGGATTGTTAGCCAGTCCAAGAACGTGGTGGGTGCCATATTTTGCAGACATGGCGGTCACTCTGTTTTCAGCAGAAAAATACGACAGCTACTCTGTTTTCTTGCACTGTTCTTCCTTGATGGCTGCCTCCAAGGAGCTGATATGGTGTAATTCAGATGAGCAGAAGCCTCTCTTGCCCCCCCCCGCCCCACAGTTGCCGATGGAAAGCAATCTTTTTGTGTCAATGGACCCATGTCAATGGACCCATGTAATGATTGTGGCCAATCACAGCTCATTTTCCAGGAAGCCAAGGAGGTGACATTGCTTCCCATGGCTCTCTCTGGACCAGTGTTTCTCAACCTTGGCAGCTTTAAGATGTGTGGACTTCAACTCCCAGAATTCCC